CACATAGTTTCACTTTGAGTATTCTTCTGATGGGATGAATGCTCAGCTCTTTCATCACACTCAGGCAGAATTCTGCTTTCCTCAGTAACTCTCCACGCTACTTCACACACTCCCTGCCCAAGACCGGAGCCAAGTATTCATGCTAATTCCCAGAGTACAATCCAGACTCTTTTTGATCAGATAAATTGACTTTGCCACCAGTACTTCTACGCAACTCTACTCCTACTCGTTTTCCTGTTTTATGTCATGCATCGTTGTGGCACATGTCTTCTGTTGGGACCAAAGTTCCCACATGTATCTAAAGGAAAACCTCTCAAGGGGGTTCAACCAGCTAATTCCATAGCTGGAGCCCTGGTGTTTTCATAAAAGCAAGTATGGAGTACCCTGTCCCCTTCAGGTCCAGATTGGTAGTCCATGCATCAGGAGAGGAGGAACCCAGCATTCTTTTCCTGGAGTTTTCAGGCACATGCAAGAGCGGTGGTGGTTTATGAAGCCACCTTCAAGGAGCCCACAAATATACTCTGACAGTGGGTAGAAGACAGCAGTTTCACCTTTCCTCACCCTTATTCATTCAACAAACATTTACTGGCTACCTATTGGATATCTCTACTCTTCTCTGTGGAGCTTTCAGTCCAGAGGGACAGACAGACAAAATTTTGGAAAATTCTAATACAACGTAGGAGAGGACAGGAGGGCATTTAATCCTGCCTGAGATAAGAGGTAAGAGTGGGGGGGGGATTCCTGAGACAAGTAAGCAGAGGAAGGGGCTAAAGGTATTCCAGAAAGAGAAGAGAGTGCCAACAAAGATTCAGAGGGAAGGAAGATGTAGCCAGAGGGACTATCCCATGAAGAAGGGGGTTGCACTGGTAAAGGGTCTTGGGGAGCTGGAGGGTCTAAGAATGTGTGTCTAGGTCGCTGCAGTAGTTACTAAAGAAGAGTCTAGCTGTGAGATAAATTTAAGAGGCCTGAAGGAGCCGGATCATGAACAGCCTTGTGTGCCATTCTAAGAAGTGTGGACTTCCCCTCAGGATAGTGACAAGAACCAGAAGGGTTTTAGGGAGAGGACTAAGTGATCCCTCTGGTTACAGTGCAGATGGTGAACTGGAAATGAGCGAGACTGGAGACAGGAAGACCAGTTAGGAGGCTGTTGGAATAATCCAGTCTATGAAAGTGCATTGTGGTTGTGGGTCTCTAGGGGAAAATCTAGGGCGAATTTATTTCCAACTCCACCAGATACTGCCAGTATTCCAAGACCAGTGGTTCTGCAACTGCAAACCCATAGCTGGCCACTGACTGGGGTCAACACAAGTTGGTGAACCTGTCATGCCTGGGGTCTTCCACTGGGCAGGATGTGGAAAATCACAGAACTTGAAACTCATCTAAATTTCTAAGCCTTGTCCAGAGGAGTTGCTGCAGCTCTCTAAATCCGAAACCTTGGATTTTCTCACTTTTTTCACTGATCTGTTCGTCTATGCCCCACCCCCATACACTTTTAAGACCATGTAAATTCCTATCATCTGTCCATTCAAGTGCCACTGCCTTCATGTAATTTTCCCTAATTTTCATTTCCCAAACTCCAAATAAGAATTAACTGTCCTTATTTTAAGATCTCAAAGAACTTTGTGTAGACAGTTAAAACTCAATTAATTGGGGCAATGAAGGAAGTTACAATAATGGATCAATTAGACTAGGGTGCAGTCCAACCCCTTACCCCAGGTAAATCACACATTGTTTCATTGCTGAATGCTTCTACTTGCAGTGCACAAAACAGCTTGGTTGAACTCGTCCTTAGTAATCAACTATACCTCCATTTAGCACTTATTTTGCCTTAGAAATAGTTTATTTTTATTAACAAACACTCATATGGCACTACGTGTCTGGCACATTCTAAGCACTTTACAAATAAGCCTCTTAACAACTCTACAATATAGGTACTAATATTATCATCTCCATTTAGAGATGAGAAAACTGAGCCATTGAGGAGGGTTTCACACCTAATAAGTGATGGAAACAGAATTTGAACCCAGGAAGCCTGGCTCAAGGGTCTGTGCTCTTAACCACAATTGTATGTGGCCTCTCTCTCTTCCAGTAGATCGTGGAAGCACCAAGCTCTGCAAACTGTTTTTTCTGAATTGTAACTGCAAGCCAGAGATGTGGCAGGAGCAGGGAATACAAATATAAAGACACAGTTGTTGCTCTACAGGAGTAAATTATTTGTTTATTGAACATAACAAACCACAAAACTATGGCTACAAACAATAGCCATTTACTTGCTCACAATTCTGCAAACAGGGCTAGACTCACCCATTTGCAGTCAGCTGATGGTTCAGTTAGGACTGAAGGATCCAAGATGGCCTTACTCATGTCTGGCATCTTAGCTGGGAGAGCTGGAACAGCTGGAAGCTGGTTAGGCTTCTCCCGTGGTCTCTCATCCTGAAAGATGCTAGCTCGAGTTTCCTTAAATGGTGTTCCAGGGCAGCAAAAGAGCAAGAGAGGAAGCAGCAAGGGCAAATTCTAGGCTTGGAACTCACCCAATGTCACTTCTGCTGCATTTTTTTTGGCCCAAGCAAGTCATAAGGCCCACTCAGATTCAAGATGGCAGATGGTTATACAATGGCCTGAATTCAGGGATGTGTGATTCATTGGGGGCTTTTTAATAACAATCTACCACAAGAAGCTAGTAGTTTTAGTGGGGGATGATTGTCATAGAACATAGGGCTATAATAGAGATGGGTTACAGTGCGATAGGGATGTAGGGAAAGAAACCTCTGAATTGGTTGAGGGAATCAAGGATAGCATCAGGCAAGCAGCATTAACACAGACCCTCAGACTTGGAAGACAGGTTGTGTTTGGGAGGTTAACTTGGTGGGTGGTCCACAGAGGGGTGGGGAAGGGAAGGAAGGGCATTCTAGGCAGGTAGAACAGCAGGTGCAAAGGCATCAATATGTGGTACAAGAAAGCGTCGTGTACTTGGGGAATAATAAATAGTTCAGAATGGTTAGAGTAAAGGGCACTTGAGGCAGACCGAGGGTGAGGAGGTTGAAGAAGGCTGAACCAGGTCAGGAAGTGGCACGTGTGCCTTGCTAAAAAGTTTTCAAATATTGCCTTTGGGGAGTAGGTCATTGAGAAATTTTGATCAAGGCAAGCACATGATCTGATTTGTGTATTTGAAAATCACTTTGGGAGTCCATGAAAGGGGGATGAGATGGAAATCAGGAAGACTGGTGAGAAGGTGATTGCAAAATGCCAAGTATAAAAAGATAAGACCTGAAGAGAACAATGGCATAGGGAGCAGAGGAGAGAAAAAGGGTTCCAGAAATATTTATGAGTTAGAATGAATAGGATTTGGCAATCGAAGGAAGAATATAGAATGACTCCCAGGTTTCTAACTTTGGCAACCAAGTGGATATAGGTGGCAGAGTTTCAAGAGGAAAATGCTCTTTTAAGTTTTGTACTAATTGACTGATTTTGAGCTGCCTGTGTGACAATCAACAGAGATGTGGGGTAGACAAGTTGGATATACAAATCTGAAGCCCAGGAGAGAGGACCAGACTGGAGATACAAATATAGAATTCATCAGCAAACAGGTGGTAGTAAGAAGCCATAGATTTCCCAGAAGCAAATAGAATAAAAAGAACAGAGGCTGGGGATGACTGAAAGAGCTACATTTAGTGATGAGAAGAGGAAGAAAAGTCCATGTAGGAAACTTAAAAAGAAGAATTAGAAAGATTGGAGGAAAACCAGGAGGCGTGGTGCCCCAGAAGTCAAGGGAGAAAAGAGTTTAAAGAAATTCAGGAACGTGCTTATGGGATTTGACAGTTGATCACTGGTGACCATACTGAGAGCAGTTTTGGAGGAGTTATGATGCCAATACTCTGACTGCTTTGAATTGAGGAAACCTGTGAGAGATTGCTTGTAAGTGTGATGATGGGTGAGGGGGAGTTGCAGGAAGTTAAAGAGTTCCTTCATAGAAAGCGAAGTGATCTACCAAGAGGGAAGTGTGTGGGCTTGAAGAGTGTTGAGGGGCAGGGAGGAGGCTTGTAATAGTTGTGCTAAGAAAGAAAATCTTCTTTGAATGCCACTTCCTGCCAAGTTTCTGCTCTATATTCTTCTCACTTTCATGCTAAACTTTGGGGAAACTCATTCTTCCCCTTCACTCCTTAAAAGTGCTTTCATCGTAATCTGGCATTTGTCTCTATATAACGACTTGCAAAAAAAATCAGTGACTTTTGTGTTTCACCTAATGTACATTGTGTCACTCAATATTATTTGTTCAAAAGAAGGAATATGCTTGATATTCTTAACAACATGCTCTGGGATTTTAGCTAAATTATTTAATTCTGATGTCCAACAGTGAAATGAGAATATAAGCAGCTAGCTCTGTTTCCTCCCAATCTCAATGGAATGTTGGAGGAGTTGATGAAGTGAGATTGTAAGGCACATTGACCATCTCTGAGATAAGTAGCTATAATTATATATTACATATATATAATTATAATATAGCTATAGTAGCTATAATCTTCCTAATAGGATTGTCTCAGGGATTAAATAAGATAACGTAAAATAATGTAAAATTCTTAGTAAATATCTGACATATAATAGTAAATGGTAATGACTATTTGTATTTTAGTTTGAAATTTAGCAAACCAATATTTAGCGAGTGAAAAAAGAAGGTCCAGCTGTTTGGGGGGCGCTTAGGTAGAAAAATATTTGGTGTTTATGAAATGATATATCTGGGAATTTCTTCAAAATAATCTCCTGTGTTGGAGGTGGGGGACAGGAATTATTCTAATTTTGCATTCATTTGAAAATTTCATAATAAAAAGTTATGATTTGTTTCACTCTATGCAACTCTATGTTAACGCAAAACACTTGGTATATTTAAATATAATGAAAACTTTGTAACCGATCAAATGGCTTTTTGAGGTGTAGGCCCCCCTCACCCTACTCCACTCCCCAAAGTAAAAGAGTAATGCAAGGAAGATTTAATTTCAAATGGAGATAATGATTTGATCTTACGGCTTTTATAATATCATAAATGGGCGTCATTTCAATAACTAGTCTCAGAATATCTTTTCCACCTAACCAACTTCATTCATCATTAGAAAGAAACTACAAGTTCCAGGATGCACTGCACAATTAACGTCAAATCGAGGACCTCGCCTCTCCGAACTGGTTGTCCTCGCCTTATTTGAATGGGAATAATCCCGGAGAGAACTGACGTGTGTGACCTAGAGCAGACTTTCGAGTCTTTGTACGGCGAGGTCGGCCGAGCGTGCCGTTCGGAGGGGACAGCATGGTACCTTTCTGTTCAGGCGTCGCTCCGGGCAGCCTCACCCTTTTCTGGGGCCTCCGTGCGGCAGGAGGACTCCGTTAGTGCGCCTCCAAGATGGCGACCCTGTTGGCGGTAAATTCGGGTAAGTGCGGCCGGGGCAGAAGGGAAACTCTGGGGCCGAGCGATGATCAGTTCTTCAGTGAGAGACCAGGCTGTCAGGTTGCTCGGAGTCCAGGCCCCCACTTGTGCTTGGTCCCGCTTTTCCCGAGCTCTGGGCCTCGAGTCCCGCCCCTCCCCAGTTTGAATGGCGCGCGTCGGCGCTGCGGCTCTAGTCCTCGAGTTGGCTTTGAGGGTCCAAGCAAGGAGGCTTGGTCCATTGCAACCGGGCAGTCTCTCGCAGGCCAGCGCTGAGCCTGGTCCCTTCCACTCCTCGTAATGTGTTTGTGGCCTGGATTTCGCCTGAATATGCAAGACTCCGGCAGTAAGGCCGGAGGACCCCATGTATTTTCAGCCACGAGCGCAGGCTGAAAACTCGCACCTCAAAGCAAGCACCGGGGCCCCTCATGGAGATTGGGGGGTCCTGCAGGAAGCGAGGATTATGAAGCCCGCAATCCGGAAGGGGCCCGGGAAGGAGGTGCCATGGGTACAGCAAATGACTGCGACCTCTACGGGTGTGGCCCGTCTCTGGATGCTCCTGGACCTTTGGAACAGTAGATCTTCGCGGCGGAGTAGAATCTAGAATGTAGTAAAGGAACTTGGAAGATTTGGGATGGGTCCTCTTTTGGTGATTCTCAATTTGGGTTGGCACCGCCCCCCAGGGGCGTTTTAAGAGTGGGTGCATTTTGATTGTCACAATTCCTAGGATCCGCTGCTGGCGCCTCGTGGGCGGGGCAAGGATGCCAAAAGCCCTTCCTGGGGCGGAGCGGTCCTGAAAACGAATAATTTCCTGCTCAGAATGTCAGTGCCTGCATTGAAACGCACATAGCTTCATGGGCCAGTTAAGAGTATATCTGTATGGAAAATGCTTGTAGAGAATTTCATTCAAGAGGAGTCTTTCCTGGACACCTTTTCTTTCTGTCTCTAATTGTGCAGTCTTTTTTTTTTCCCCCTTGGTTCTGGTTTGTTATACTTTGCACAGGACTGATATTCTTGAAAAGTTGTCTAAATCTGAATTTTGCAAATCAAACCATTTTAGAAATACTATGATAAATTATTTTATAATGATGGATTATGTTTATTGAACACCTGCTCTGTCCCAGACGCTGGACTAAGTGTTGTACATATACCTGTGGGATAGCTGCTGTTAAATACCTCATTTTACAGATTTGGAAATAGAAGCTTAGAGTGTTTAAGTAACTTCCCCAAGGTTATACAGCTAGATTCTAAGCCAGTGTTAGGTGCTTAAACTACTACATGCTACTACTTAAGCACAACCTAATTCATTTTATTACATCAAAAATTCATATATCTGAATGTTAGTAATGAAGTTACTTCCTTCATATTGCTGTCTTGCCTTTCCACCCAGATATAAACTTAAAAGTAAGGCTTGCATGTTATATGTGTGGTTATGTATGTTTCTTTAGTAGATACCCCTCCCAGTTACCATAATTAAACATAAATCGTTGAAGGAAAAAGGAAAAGGAGTTGCCAGCAGCTGCAAAGAGTATACATTGTATAATAAGGCCTTGTGGCAGGAGTGTTTAATTGGCATCAGAAAAGAAACGTTTTTAAAAGCTCAGTCAGGAGAATATTTTTTTTAAAAAGTTAAACATTTTAGAGAAGCAGCCCAAATGTCCATAGAAGGATGAATGGATAAACAAAATGTAGTATATACATACAGTGGAGTCTTATTTAGCCTTAAAAAGGAAATTCTGACACATGCCACAAGATGGATGAACCTTGAGGACATTCTGCTAAATGAAGTAAGCTAGTCACAAAAAGACAAATACTGTGTGGGGCTGGCCCAGTGGCATAGTGGTTAGGTTTGTGCGCTCCGCTTTGGTGGCCCTGGGGTTCATGGGTTCGGATCCCAGGCGGGGACCTATGCACCGCTCATCAAGCCATGCTGTGGTGGCGTCCCACATACAAAATAGAAGAAGATGGGCACAAATGTTAGCTCAGGGCCAATCTTCCTCGGCAAAAAGAGGAAGATTGACAATGGATGTTAGCTCATGGCCAATCTTCCTCACCAAAAAAAAAAGACAAATACTGTGTGATTCCACTTATGTGAGGTGTAGAAAGTCTTCAAACTCAGAAACAAAGAATGTTGGTTCCAGGGGCTGCGGGGAGGGGGAGTTGTTGTTTAAGGGGTACAAAGATTCATTTTTGCAAGATGAAAAAGTTCTGGAGATCTATAGTACAACAATGTGAATGCACTTAACACTACTGAACTACACACTTAAAGTTGTTTAAGATGGGAAATTCTGTTATGTGTTTTTTTCCACAATTCAAAAAAAAATTAATCATCTTAGAGTTGTAGAAGGGGGCAAAAATAGAGATTGTAGAGTTCTAAGACCTATGCTTGAGTTTCAGCTGCATGATTTACTAGTGATGTGACTGTCCCAGCTGAGTAGCCATACAGGCTTGTTGTTAGTAAGCCACCATTAACTCTGCTTGACACCCCTTCTGTGGCAGTGTGGTCACCCTTGTCCCGTTCACATCAGTGACTATTTCAAACCTTTTCCACACTCCTCAAATCTTTGTCCTCCAACTGACCCCTCATTTTCCTCGTCACAGAGGAGATAGATGCAAATGGGCATGAGCTCTTTCTTTTTTCACACTCAAACCTACAAACCTAGATCTGTCTGCACCCTTTTGAATCAGTTTCCTTGTGGCTCTCTATCAAAGGTAAATCCCACCCTTTATGCCCTTCTGCCTATTATCCTTTCTCTCTCTTGTATATTCACCTCTTTCTTGCTCCTTTTCTTTCCACTAACCTCCCGTCTTTATCTTGATCTCCTGCCTCACTCTGTCTTCTTGCTCCTCTTCACAGTTAAACTGTTCAAAAGATTCGTCAGCATTCACTGACTCCATTTCCATTTGTTTCCTTCCTCTACCCACTCTAGTCTCTTCTCATCCACCTAAACAGCTCTCAATAAGGTTAACATGCTCTTCTATTTCATGACGTCCAGCAGACGTTTTTAATCTTTAGCTTGATCTTTTAGGATAAAGATCCAAATCATTAACATGGGCTAGGAAGCCCTGCTTGGTGCGGCAGTTGCCTACCTTGCCAAACCCTTTTCTGTACTCGAGCTCTCTTAGCCTTCTTCTCAGTTCCTTAAGAATGCAGTGTTCCCTCTTGCCATGGGAACTCACATGCTAGCCTCTCTTCCTGGAATGCATATCCTTATCTGCAACCCCTCAGGTAAGTCCCACTTTATCCTTCAGATTTCAGCCTAATCATCACTTCCGGGAAGGGAATCCTTCCCTTCCCTAACCTCCTTGGCTAGGTCAAATTCTCCTGTTATGTGATCTCTTGCCTTGGGTACCTTCTCCTTCATAGCTCTTACCAAATTGGATATTATACTAACGTATGACTGTGTGATTCGTGTGTTTCCTCACTACACCGTAAGCTTACCAGTATCTGGGACTTGATGAATGAATGAAGGTGTGTGACTCGCTGGAGGTGTCCCTAAACATTGAGGAAACTACATGTTTCTCAAATGTACAGATCACTATTGTTAAAAACACATATTTAGTAATTTGGAAAAATTTATAGCCTCCTTTCATTTTTTTTTTTTTAAGATTTTATTTATTTATTTTTTCCCCCCAAAGCGCCAGTAGATAGCTGTATGTCATAGCTGCACATCCTTCTAGTTGCTGTATGTGGGACGCGGCCTCAGCATGGCCAGAGAAGCGGTGCGTCGGTGCGCACCCAGGATCCAAACCCGGGCTGCCAGCAGCGGAGCGCTCACACTTAACCGCTAAGCCACGGGGCCGGCCCGCCTCCTTTCATTTGTAATCAGTAGCAGAAAGATATTTACTACAATTAGTCAAACCAAAGACAAACTGTGATAAATCTTTGTTGCAGTTACCTTCTGTGATGTGTTGACATTAATGATGGACTCAGGAGGCCAGCATATGTCGGGGGCTTTTTGTGTCGATTTTTGACCTGTTTTTGGATGCCTCCCATAAAAGGGAGGGAAAACAGAATTTTCCTCTAAAACTCCCTGAGCTTATTACTCTAAGAATCTATAGTACAAAGAAATTTATTAGTTCTTCACAGGTTCTATTGTATATTAAGTATTACTTTTAAAGGCAGAGAATTTACTTCTGTCAGCTTTTTGTTAGATTTTTGAAATACTTGTGGTAAGGCAAGTTTCAAATTTGCCTAGGAGTCATTTTGATACCTTTCTATGATACCCTGTGCCAATAAATGACCAGTTCTGACCCTTCTGTACTAATAGGCCTTTCCTTTCTATTTTGCTGCCTTCATCCTAGTTTAGGTTTCACCACCTCATGAGTGGCTTATCTACCTACCATCCTTGGTTCCTGACACTTCCTGTTCTAGTTAGTCCATCAACCACACCATTGTCCTACAGTACCAATTTCATTTTGTTGTCTACTACTTGAGATTTTCCCATTTACTAATAGGAAAAATTCCATCTCGGACTGGAATCCAAGGCTCAAACCTACTCTATCCTTTGCAGTTAGAGAGGGTCAAGAAAATGACCTCTAGGGAAGTCTCTAGTCACCATCCAACTAGCACCTCACAGGCAGTCACCAGGATCCAGGGTCAGGTCCTCATTTTGGCAGACCTGAATTCTGATATTTGTTAGTGTAGCCAGAGTTGGTTATATCCCAGTAATTGATTTTTCTCTAATCAAACTCAGAATCTAAGACAGACATATAAACCAGTATGCCAATTTATTGATCTTTTTTTTTTTTTTTTGTGAGGAAGATCAGCCCTGAGCTAACATCCATGCCAATCCTACTCTTTTTGCTGAGGAAGACCGGCCCTGAGCTAACATCTATTGCCAGTCCTCCTCCTTTTTTTCCCTTTTTCTCCCTAAAGCCCCAGTAGATAGTTGTATGTCATAGTTGCACATCCTTCTAGTTGCTGTATGTGGGACGCCACCTCAGTATGGCTGGACAAGCGGTGCGTAGGTGCGCGCCCGGGATCTGAACCTCGGGCCGCCAGTAGCAGAGCCCGTGCACTTAACCGCTAAGCTGTGGGGCGGGCCCCCGCCAATTTATTGATCTTTAATGGGAAGTATATCTGCGTGGGTACTCATGTTGGTTAGTCAGCACATTCTTTACTCTAGAAATTTATATGACAAGCTGTATTTTTTAATCAGAAGATTGGCAAGTATGGGACCAAAGCAGGGAGCTGACAATCTCTTTCTATGTAAGGTCTAGGCGTGGTGATTCCCATTCCTCCATGTCCCCACACCAGAGACCTGACACATTGCTTCCTGCCCTGCCCTTCAGATTAGATTAGATTCTTCTTTTCGTATGTTCTCCTAGCACTCTGTACTTCTCCATCATACTGGTAATTGTTTTTGAATTCTATGTTTAATGTCTGTCTCTTGTCAATCTGTAGGTTCTATGAGGCCTGGGATCCTGTCTATCTTGCTCAGTCTGTAGTACCTGGCACATAGAAGGCCCTAAGTAAATATTTGTCGAAAGGATGAATGATCCAGCTTGACTGGTGTAGTGATCTCCTCTCCTTGCACATCCCTGCTTAAAAATTTTTTGTGCACTACATTGCTTTCTTCTGACAACATTGTTCATAAGACTGTAATGCATTTAATTAGGTTACAGCTATCTTTCCTGTCATTCTTCCTGTCCTGGTAGCTTTATTTTGATTTGCGTTTTCTCAGATAGTAGTTAACCATTTACAGATAACCCTTTAAAGTGTAGGCTATAGTTAGTTTCAAGTTTCATCTGTTTAATGATTGATTGGTTTTGACTTGTTTCCCTTTCATAGTCTTTATAAGCACATATGGGTACCATGTCTGATTGTTGGCAAACAGAAACCTTGGGCTTCAGGGTAGTGTTTTTCAAACAGTGGGTCTAAAATAAACTTAGTGGGTCCTCCACCAATTAAAGGGAACAGAATACAAAATATCAGAGTGCATTGATATAATAAATGAATATTCATTAGTGTTTCATATTAAACTTTTGTTTCACTTTTGCATATATATGTATACTGGGTAGATATGGAATATTTCTTACCATGAGTTATGGTCAAAAACGTTTGAAAGCCACCGCTCTGACCTCTTTAATCTCAGTACTGCTGTTTGAATTCTCTATCTTTCACACTTTCACACCTATCTTTGAGTCTTTTTTTTTTTTTTGTGAGGAACATCAGCCCTGAGCTAACATCCATGCTAATCCTCCTCTTTTTGCTGAGGAAGACCAGCTCTGAGCTAACATTTGTTGCCAATCCTCCTCCTTTATTTCCCCAAAGTCCCAGTAGATAGTTGTATGTCATAGTTGCACATCCTTCTAGTTGCCGTATGTGGGATGCGGCCTCAGCATAGCCGGAGAAGCGGTGCGTCAGTGCACGCCCAGGATCCGAACCTTTGCCGCCAGTAGCGGAGCGCGAGCCCTTAACCGCTAAGCCACGGGGCCGGCCCTATCTTTGAGTGTTTGCTCACACTTTCCCTTGGCTGTTCATTGTCACCCAGATTTTCCCCATCCTTCAGATTGCTACACAAGTGCAGCCATCCCTTAGAAATCCTTGACCATCATTTTGATCTTTCAAAATTCTTGTATTTTTTTGTGGCAAGAGTCATGTTCCTTTTTTGTGTTGTCATTGAGATATTTTACTTATGTCTGCTTTGTCTCCCAAACTGGATTATAAGTTTTTAAAGACCAGGATTGTTTCTCTTATCCCCTATGATATTTTACTGTTCATTAATGGAGCTTAAATGTGTTTAGATAATTCAGTTTGGCTGAGTTGAGATGAATTGGCCTAGGTATGTCTAGATGTGATCTTAATTTCTTCACTTACCAGACTATTTACCAGATATGTCTGAAATACCTAAATTCATCTTCTCAGACATTTTCGCTTTCCAAGTATTATGTATGGAGGCAATAGAGCTTAGTGGCTAGGGCACATTCTGATGCTGCTGCCTGGGTTCACAACCTGCTTATCCAGTGTGACCTTGGGTGAGTTTTTTGACCTCTCTGCCTCAGTTTCCATATCTACAAAATGGAGGAAGACATAGTGCTGACCTCATAGTGTTTGAGATGAAATAACATGTGTAAGGACTTTATGCTCAGTAGTACATAGCAAAAGCTCAGTATTCCTTATTGTTGTTATTACCCTTACAAATCAAAATGGGATCCTTTTCATATGAATTTACAGAAGTATTCCATATGTCTGTGCTGTTTTGTAATAGCTAGTGTCCCAGCCAAAATAAAATACTTATTTTTCAGCTGCTAAGTTTTATACAAAATCTGATTTTTTTCCTCCTGCTTTTTTCCTTCTGCTTTTCATTTGGATTCTAGGGAAGAACAGAACGGCACTTATCTTTGAGTGCCTATAATATGCCAGGCACGGTATTGTGTGTTTTATCTAGTCTATCTCATTTAATCCATTCAGCCCTATGAGGCAGGTGATGTAACTATTTAATATATAAGGAAATTGAAATTTAAAGAGGTTATTTCCATGTCACATAGCTAATAAAGGGGCAAAACCAGGTCCAGCTGATATTCTAATTTAAAGTCAGGATTTACTTTATGTTATATTAAGTTAGATAAAATGATGTTTATATTGTTGCTTGAGAATTCTAGTAAGTACACTTTTATATTAATGTTTGGTTTGTATGTATAACTTCATATATTTAAAAGTAGCTGTAAGCGTGACTAAAATGTATAGGCAGTAACCTTATATTATTTTCCAAATATATGTTTTATTTGATGCTGGTTTTGTTATTTTTTCTTTAAGCTGCTAGTCTATGGGGTCCTTACAAAGACATTTGGCAAACAGTGGGAAATGCTCTTTGGAGAAGACAACCTGAAGCTGTCCATCTTCTTGACATGATTTTGAAGAAACACAAGCCTGACTTCATCTCATTGTTCAAAAACCCAGTAGGAAATTTTCTTTTTCGCTTCTTGGCTTTGCTTTCTTTTTTAAAGATTGAAGGAGCAAGTAAACTCTTAATGCCTGTAAATGAAATCTGTTACTTGTCCTGGTTCATTGATTCAAGTTTTCTCTGAATATGTAATTTTCCCTGGGAGCAGTTATTATCTTCTTTTTGTTCTCCATGGAAGTTAATGTTATATTTATCTTAGGTAGGAGATATCAATAATATTTGAATATGATTTAAAAAGTTCAGTATATTCCAGAAATATGAGCTCCTTGGAATTTCTGACCTATAGTTAATATATTTAAGCTCAGTAAGATTGATTATTTTATTTATTTCCAGGTACATTTCAACATTTTAATTCTTCATAATGTTCTGTAAGTTGTGTTAGCTGAACTAATTAATTCTTTCATATCATTAATCACTGCATCTTGAGATCCTTTTTAACCAGGAATAGAGTACCTCCGTGGAGGGGATTCATATTTGGAAACTCCTTTCCTTGCTGTTTAACAATTTTATTTTATAGACTAACAAGACAGTCTAAGAACTATTTATGGGTTCATCTTACCAGAAATGACCTTTTGCTTTTTTAGCTTTTTTTTGTATCGTTAGTAGAAAGAGCCCAGGCCTGGGAGCCAGTTGAGCTGAGTTTCAGTCTTGGCTCTACCGCTAGAGCTGTATGCCCACAGGCAAATCACCTGACCTACCTGGGCATCAGTTTTCCCATCTGTTAATAGAGGAGTTAGATTAAATGACCTTTGTGGCCTTTTTCAGGGTGTAAATTTTTAAGATTTTTATGATCCATCAAGTAATTCTATTCTTTTGGGAATAAGACTAAATTTTAAACAATATATTAATAAACTATCATTATTAGCCCTACTAATTAATCCAACAATTCATATATCCATTTGTTATTTCCCACTTGAAGACTTTACTGTTTTTTTTTTTTTTTTTAAAGATTTTATTTATTTATTTATTCCCCCCAAGGCCACCGTAGATACTTGTATGTCATAGCTGCACATCCTTCTAGTTGCTGTATGTGGGACATGGCCTCGGCATGGCTGGAGAAGCGATGCTTCGGTGCGCACCCGGGATCTGAACCCGGGCCGCCAGCAGCGGAGTGCGCGCACTTAACCGCTGAGCCACGGGGCCGGCCCCTTTACTGTTTTTTGTTTTGTTTTGTTTTGTTTTTTTTTGTGAGGAGATCAGCCCTGAGCTAACATCTGCCAGTCCTCCTCTTTTTTTTTTTTTTTCTTTGCTGAGGAAGACTGGCCCTGGGCTAACATCCATGCCCATCTTCCTCCACTCTACATGGGATGCCGCCACAGCGTGGCTTGCCAAGCAGTGGGTCAGTGTGCGCCTGGGATCCGAACCGGCGAACCCTGGGCCACCACAGCGGAGCGCGTGCTCTTAACTTCTTGCACCACCCTGCCAGCCCCTGGACTTTATTGTTTTTATTTATTCAATATATAATTGGAAAAGTTCCTTAGGAACTTAGAAAATAGTATGCTATTTTGTGTGCTTTCTCAAAATTTTGTAGTTGAGTTTAGGAGAAGCAGTTATTGACAAGTTAGTAATAGTATAAAAAATTGAAGGTAATACCAAATATTACCTCATAAAGGTCTAATTATAGATTATTTGATAAGAAATAATTCTTTTGTTATGTTACCGGGCTGCCTTATCATGAATAAACTTCTCTAGGTGACAATTTAAGACCTTTTCTCCAATGTACTATTTTCATTACATAATCTTATTTATTTATTTTTACTGTAGTCAAAAAATGTTCAACAACATGAGAAGGTTCAGAAAGCCAGTACAGAGGGAGTCGCCATCCAGGGTCAGCAGGGAACCCGGCTTCTTCCTGAACAGCTCATTAAAGAGGCCTTTATCCTCAGTGACCTTTTTGATATTGGAGAATTGGCAGCTGTTGAGCTTCTCCTCGCCGGTAGGTTTACGTTTAACTGAACCTATGGTAAGGTAGTACAGAATTATAAAATTATTCACTTGGAGTTTAAAATATTATATCATTTAGATTCCAAAATAGTTTCTAAGGATGTAGTTTATTTGAAAAACTATATTCAAAATATTTCCTTTTGTTTATCTTTGACTTTAGGAAGGCTTTAGTGATTGGAGTTGTTAAAAGTAATTTAACTATTTTAAGATAGGCGTTTATGTGGTAATTTACTAGCAAAGAATAATTGGCTGCATCTCAGAAGTTTTATAGCACAAAGCTTTTATTGTCATATAATGAATGAGAAGGTAAGGTCACTAGTCTTTTGGAATTTCTTTTTGAGGGGGTGATTTAGATAATGAATAGGTCAAAAAAAAAGATAATTTCAATAATACTGAGTCCTAGGAAGAAAATAAAAGGCAGTGGGATATAGAGGGATGGGAGCTGATAGGCGGCAGCTCTAAATAGGGCACTTAGAGAAGGCCTCTCTGAGATTGGGACATTTAACCTGAGACCTGCATGATGACATGGTGCCAGAGTTGTTGGGGAAGAGTGTTCAGGCACAGCAAACAGCAAGTGGTTGGGGTGAGCACAAAGGCATGCTAAAGGATAAAAAGACCACTGTGGCTGGGGCATCAGGAGTGAGAGGGAGAGTGAAGGAAGATGAGAATAGAGCAGGGATCAGATCATACTCTGTCTTGCAGGCCATGAAAAGCATTTGGATTTTATTCTAATTGCAATGGGAAATTGTTGGCAGGGGCTTTAAGAAGAAGAGTTACATAATCTGGAATAACTTTGAAATTATTTCTCTGGCTGCTATATAAAGAAAAGATTGAAATTTCCATAAAATAAGCAATTCATTTTAATTATAACAGAGCCATGTGAAGAAGCCATGTGGGCATTTTAGTTGAAAGAAAGTCTGATATGTATAAAGATACCTCATGGCTGCCAAAATCCTTTTTGAACTAAGACTGCTTTAAAAGAAGTACGATATTGAGAATGAGTAAGGTAGTTTTCCCATTGTATGATGGAGATATTAACTGAACATTCTCGAGTTTTAAGTTTAACTCAAAACTTTCATTTAACAGACATTTATTTTATGTGTGCCATGGGCCAGGCACTGTGTTTTAAGAGTTAAACTCTGGGCCGGCCCCGTGGCTTAGCAGTTAAGTGCGCGCACTCCGCTGCAGGCGGCCCGGGTTCGGATCCTGGGCGCGCACCGATGCACCGCTTCTCTGGCCATGCTGAGGCTGCGTCCCACGTACAGCAACTAGAAGGATGTGCATCTATGACATACAACTATCTACTGGGGCTTTGGGGTGAAAAATAAAATAAATAAAATAAAAAAAAAAAGTTAAACTCTCAACAGGGATATAAAGATGAATAAAACTTCAACTAATATAAAGGAGCTCATAGTCTAGTAATTGAGAAAGACATGGAAACAAACAATTATGACACCATTAAGTGCATTAATGCAAGTTTGTTGCAAGATTTAGTGATGGTCCATGGGGAAGGGGATTAAATTGATGTTGGTTTGTACAGAAAAATTTTCACAAAGATCGTGAGGCTTAAGGCACGTGTTGAAAAATATGTCAAGTGGAATAGGTGTGCACTCAGGAGAACAAAGGGCATACAGACAGAAGAAATTGCCGGTACGGAGGTGTGAAGCAGTGAGATGAATTTGGGCAACAGAAGGGAGTAAAATTCAGGAGTGATTGAGCTAAGGGGAGAAAAAAGCTGTAGGAAATGAAACTGAAACTAGAAGCAAGTTACTTTAAAAAAGACAAAGTGGAACTTATTCTAAAGGAGAGCAGTTAAAAGGGCAAGTGAAATTGAAACAAAAGAAAAGCTTATCTCATTTTCAGAGAGGACTCTAGGGGAAGAAACTTCCAAATATTTGAAAGATTTCATGTGAAAGAATAAAACAGTAGATGGCTGTTTGAAGTAGAGGACCCTTAAGGGCCACTTAATCCCTTAGATTCTGTGATTTCTTTGAACTGAACGTTGGTATGGTGATTTTTGTCTCTTCCTCAACACATATGTGTTTATATACTAAATTGTTTCTTAACTTCCTTTTCTAGGAGAGCACCAACAGCCACATTTCCCTGGCCTCACCAGAGGATTGGTAGCTGTTCTTTTGTATTGGGATGGAAAACGATGCATTGCAAATTCCCTGAAAGCCTTGATACAGTCTAGACGAGGAAAGACATGGACCCTGGAACTCAGGTCTGTTTGCTTCTTGGGATTTCAGGGGTTAATTAGAAATTACTTGAAGAATTATAATTTTAGAAACAACAAAAATTTCTCCTTAACATGTATAATTTAAGTAAAGTATGTAACATAAATAGAGTAATAAACACTCCCTTATTCTGCCAAGAAGGACACAACAGTTTAAACCTGCTTTATTTTTTTACAAATAAAAAGTAACTCAGTTATGGTTAGAAGCTTATTGAAACCTAGTGATCTAGAAAGGATGAAAAGAGCTAGGTTATAATTCATCCTGGTTGTTTCCAGTAATGCAACATTATTGTCAAAAGAGCATTTGCTATGTCCATATGACAAGGAAGTATAAACATTACTGTTCATTATAACTTTGTTTATTGATTTCTTTTCATTACAGTCCAGAGCTAGTTTCCATGACAACACGCTTTACAGATGAGCTGATGGAGCAAGGATTGACTTATAAAGTCCTTACTCTGGTGTCACAGATTGATGTGAACAATGAGTTTGAGAAACTACAGCGCGAGAGAGGTTTGGGCAGTGAAAAACATCGCAAAGAGGCAAGGGTTCAATGAGATCAATTCATGGTTGTTTGTGTCAATTCTTGGAGGCAGAAAAGTCGTGACAATTAGAACATTCTTCTAATACAGGCATAGGAATATTAATAATGCATATTAAAGTGTAGGCAGCTGTGTCTATTAAATTGACTTGGCAATTGTTTCAGCTTCTTTCTAGTCACCTATGTGCCACTGTAGCTCTTTTTCTGGAATGAACTCTTCAGGAAATTGGTTATCCCATAAAGGAGCTTAGAACTTAAGAATGAGGAATTAACAATAGGGTTTGTTCAGAATTCTAGAGATGAGAGTTTAGGGTCACTCGTGGATTCAGATACGTTTGTTTAGTTAGCCTTTATAAAAGATAGTTTACATTTTGGAGTAAGACCAGGCTTCACTGTAATTTACTTACCCTGCTAATCATATATTTTTATTTCTAGGTTTCTGATCTCATCAAGGAGTGCAGACAGTCTCTGGCAGAAAGCCTTTTTGCCTGGGCTTGCCAGTCACCTTTAGGCAAAGATGACACTCTTCTCCTTATTGGACATTTGGAAAGAGTGACAGTTGAGGCTAATGGCTCATTGGATGCGGTGAATCTGGCTCTTCTTATGGCACTTCTCTACTGCTTTGATACTAGTTTTATAGAACAAAGCACAGAGGAACGTGATGGTATTGGATTTTATACCTATTAATACATTTACATTTTTATTTATTTATTTTATTATTTTATTGAGGTCATACTAGTTTATAACATTGTGAAACTTCAGTTGTACATTGTTATTTGTCAGTCACCATATGTATGTGCCCGTTTACCTGTTAGGCTCACCCCCCAACCCCTTTCCCCTCTGGTAACCACTAATCTCTTCTCTTCATCCATGTGTTTGTTGATCTTCCACGTGTTCATGAAATCATACAGTGTTTGTCTTTCTCTGTCTGGCTTATTTCGCTTAATATAATACCGTCCAGGTCCATCCGTGTTGTTGCAAATGGGACAATTTTGTCTTTTTTTATGGCTGAGTAGTAGTCTATGGTATATATATACTACATTGTCTTTATCCGTTCATCAGTCGATGGGCATTGGGTTGCCTCCACATCTTGGTTATTGTGAATAATGCTGCAATGAACATAGGGCTACATAAGTCTCTTTGAATTGTTGCTTTCAAGTTCTTTGGATAAATACCCAGTAGTGGGATAGCTGGGTCGTATGGTATTTCTATTTTTAATTTTCTGAGAAATCTCCATATTGTTTTCCATAGTGGCTCCACCAGTTTGCATTCTCACTAGCAGTGTACGAGGGTTCCCTTTTCTCCACATCCTCTCCAACATTTGTTATTTTTTGTCTTGGTAATTATAGCCATTCTAACAGGTGTAAGGTGATATCGCATTGTAGTTTTGATTTGCATTTCCCTAATGATTAGTGATGTTGAACATCTTTTCATGGGCCTGTGCCTGTTGTTGGCCATCTCTATATCGTCTTTGGAAAAATGTCTGTTCCTATCCTCTGCCCATTTTTTGATCAGGTTGTTTGTTTTTTTGTTGTTGAGTTGTATGAGTTCTTTATATATTTTAGAGATTGATCCCTTGTCAGATATATGATTTGCAAATTTTTTCTCCCAGTTGGTGGGTTGTCTTTTCATTTTGTTCCTGGTTTCCTTTGCCTGGCAGAAGCTCTTTAGTCTGATGTAGTCCCACTTGTTTATTTTTTCTTTTGTTTCCCTTGCCTGAGTAGACATGGTATTCGAACAGATGCTACTAAGACTGATGTCAAAGAGTGTACTGCCTATATTTTCTTCTAGGAGTTTTATGGTTTCAGGTCTTGCCTTCAAGTCTTTAATCCATTTTAAGTTAATTTTTGTGTATGGCGAAAGATAATGGTCTACTTTGATTGTTTTGCATGTGGCTGTCCAGTTTTCCCAGCACCATTTATTGAAGAGACTTTCCTTTCTGCTTTATATGTTCTTGGCTCCTTTGTCACAGATTAGCTGTCCATAGATGTCTGGTTTTATTTCTGGGCTTTCAGTGCGGTACATTGATCTTTGTGTCTGTTTTTGTACCAGTACCATGCTGTTTTGATTACTGTAGCTTTATTGTATATTTTGAAGTCAGGGATTGTGATGCCTCCAGCTTTGTTCTTTTTTCTCAGGATTGCTTTAGCTATGTGGGGTCTTTTGTTGCCTCATGTGAATTTTAGGATTCTTTGGTCGAATTCTGTGAAGAATGTCATTGAGATTCTGATTGGGATTGCATTGAATCTGTAGATTGCTTTAGGTAATCTGGATATTTTAACTATGTTTGTTCTTCCAATCCATGTGCATGGAATATCATTCCATTTCTTTATGTCTTCTTTGGTTTCTTTCAATAATGTCTTATAGTTTTCATTGTATGGGTCTTTCACCAACTTGGTTAAATTTATTCCTGGATATTTTATTCTTTTTATTGTGATTGTAAATGTGATTGTATTCTTTTTTTTTTTTTTTTGTGAGGAAGATCAGCCCTGCGCTAACATCCATGCTAATCCTCCTCTTTTTGCTGAGGAAGACTGGCTCTGAGCTAACATCTATTGCCAATCCTCCTCCTTTTTTTTTT